TAGGTCTGTAAACTTTTAACAAGTTCAAGCAAGAACTTTTGACATCTTGCTGTCCTTACATTAATAATTACGAAGCAGTTGTTCACGTGATTTTTACTAGTACAGGTGCGAAGTCACGCTAAGTAACCTGTGCTGTTGATAAAGTGTCATTAAATCAGTCTGTCACGGCAGCATATGTAACCTCGAAGTGTTATGTCATTTTAATATTGGCCTATAAGCAACTTCTGAGACAAAATTTGTATATTTGTGTGTGGCCTGTGGATGTATAAAATTTTGCTTGCATATCTAAAGTGCTTAATGAGGTATCGTAATCAAACAGAAAGAATTTTGCTATTTTACATGTTCCTTAAGACATCATTTTCACCCAGAAGGACACAATGAGAAGTTTACCTTCAGCTTGTCATCTTCTGCAAAATCACCCTTCATGGCTTTCTGGATGAGGGCTGAAATTAACAAAATAATATATGAAGTTTCTTTCAATTTCACCGCTAATAACAGTTATTGTAAATATAACATTTTTCTGGGATTACGTTGTGGGGAAATGAGTGTGGACTGAATTAAAGTGGTTCGGAATAAGGACTGGTATTGTTTGTTGCTTAAAGGGACTGTTAATGCCACAAGATATAAAGTTAAGATTTCACCGTTGTATTAGAACTAGAAAACTGCCCATTAAAAATGACGGGAAATCTAAAACAGTTCTGTCTCAAATGTAATATAAATGGAGAGTTGTAAAAATCTGAAGTAGTAATTTTAAGGCATCATCACCAACCAGCTGCCATCTCACATTATTTTTAATATTATCGTTCCATTTACGCCTTGGCGTTCCCAGTCGTCTCATCTCTTCAGGTTTAACTACCAAAATTGTTGAAGCATTTATCATCTCCTCCATGCACCACCCATCTCAGTCTTAATTATTTTTTCATCCTAATAATATTTGGCGAATAGTACAAACTGTGGAAGTCTGGAGTATTCGGTTTTCTCCTGCCACTTCATTCCTCTTAGGTCCAGTCATTGTCTTCACCCCCCTGTTCTCAAATAGACTGCAAAATTTAAATAAAAAATGAAACGGTTTACAGCGGGGCCGATGATAGTAAAAATTAAACACATTGCATTGGCAATCTTACCTTCATCTGCTCCACTTTCATCGATGCAAGTGTCGTGTAACATTTTGAGCATGGCTTTCTGGTCATCATCAAGACTGTCAAACTGCAAGCACATGGGGAACATGGTTCATTAGTAGTGTCCCTTTTAAATTTTATTTTTCTGTTACTTTACTCTGCCCCGTAGACGTTGATGTGTCCTGTTGAGGGTGTTTGAAGTCATAGAACTGAGGAGAAAGTTTGGACCTTGGATGGATGAAGTGAATCCAGGCTGGAAACATTTTCGTAATGTGGAGCTCTGTAGTTTGTCCTCTCATGAAATGTCAGGATGAGATGTGTGGTCACAAAATTTTAGTAGGAAAACCTGACAGGAAGACCACTTCAGAGACCTAGGCGTAGATGAGAGAATGTGACGATGTGGATTGCATTCATCTGGGTCAGGATTGGGACCGAAATCGGGCTGTTGTGATCACGGTAATGAATTTTCGGGACCAGTGGCAGAGAATTTCCCGACCATCTGAACTTCTCAAGAAGGGCTGTGCTACATGCAGTTACTCTGATGTGTGGTTTTGGACTGTGGCGACCAAATCGGATATGAAAGTTGAAAGTGTGTGCCTTTCTGGCGTGTGATCGAGTGAATTTACATTATTTTGTGAACCTACACTTTGCAAATACTAACTTAAATTAACGGCATGAACACAATCATCGTTCAGATCCTAAGAAGCTTTTGTTTCCTTCGAAACAACCCGCCATTAAGGAACTCGAATGTTCATTATCGTGTTCATATAAGCCCACCATCTTTTCCTATCCTAAGCCAGATGAATCCAATCCAAACTGTCACACCCTGATTCTCTAAAATCCGTCTTAATGTCGTCTTCCCATAAGCGCGTAGATTTTCTGAGTTGTCTCTCTCATTTATGCGGGATCTATGGGAGATAGGAGTTGAAGGAGGCTGGATTTTGTTGTCCCAGGACAGGGTCCAGTGGAGGGCTTTGATTAATTCGGTGATGAACCTTCGGGTTCGGTAAGCTATCTAGTTTGTCTGTCTTTAGGCTTTTCAATCAACATTTTGTACGTATTTCTCATATTACCATGCGTGCTACAAGGTAAATAATTTCTAATTATTTGCAGTGTCGTTTACTTTCTGAATTGCAAATTTCCCGCCAAGAATGACGGGAAATCTGAAGCAGTAAATTGCACATAGTCATCGGTATTATCCTCCAAGGCCCGGGGTGTCTTAACAGCATTACCACGGCACACATTCGTGATTATCATCCCATAAGGTCTAAAACCCCTTAGCAATAAATGGTCACCATAACATGGTAATACTTGCTTATCAAATGGGTAGATGGACGATGGTAGTAGGTTTATGTCTGCAGTAAATGAACGTAAAGATTATTAAGGTTCGCAAAATCGCGTTGGGAATTCGTCTTAATAGTATGAAATGACGAGGCTTTTTAAAAGATCGCTTGAGACGGCCTGCCAAATAATTCAACAATTAACCGCGTGAAACCGGAGTTGATACTCACACGAGATTCTCCGATGGCCGTGCCCACTAAGACAATGACGATGGCTGTAGAAACTAGAAGCATCGTTAATACTTCTGGTCGTCCGCAGTAGCGCGAAGGAAGAATAGGTTGGCTGTCAGGACGATGGTGCGTCTCATATATATATATGTATTTCATCGGAGCACCAATGTCTGTTATTACAAGACAGTTCCACGCCCATGGCGAAGGCCACTGGCGACTTGAAAACGGTGCCACTTTGATACACCAAGTTATCGGACGGAGAGAACGCACAAAGTCGCTAATTTTATTACAAGTTTCAGGGAGTCCTTGCCCTGACAAATGCTTTTTCTCGTAATATTACAGGATCCGAAATTCAGATGAACTAAAACTCGTATGTAAATTTTACGTGCTTTATTGATAATATCTGTTAAAAATCGATATCGGTGTTCTGGGTAGTGACGCCGTCTGGACTAACGTTTCAGAGTAAAATTCTGCAGCCATCTTCAGGGCTGAAGATGGAGGTAGTTTGTTCCTTCGAAACGTTGGTATATACGTAGTAGTTCACGCGATGTCACAACCCAGAACACCAACGTCCACGTCTTCATCGCCGTGAGAACCTCAGATCGCATAAAATATATGTTACAACATGAAGAAAGAAATGAAATATGAAAAGCAGGAGAAAGTAAAAAGAAAGTTACAGAAACAAGGACAGAGAACCAGAAGGGAATAAGAAGCGTGTGAAATGATAAAACAATGAAGAAATTACGTGAAGAGGGATAAGGAAGGAAATGTTAAATGAATACAAATACGTCGTATGTGTTCTAGGATGAATAGAAGTGTCTGCTGTTAATTTCATAGTGAATATCATTATTACGTGAACTACGAACACGAAGGTAGCAACTGTTATCTCACGTGTCCTATGGACAACCTTGGATCACTGAAAATTATATCTTAATTAAATTTTCAGATATTGGAAGTAACACCCATTCGTATGGCAGATGCAACTTTTCTATGGCGAATTATTACAAACTTTAAATAGGTATGTGTGCTGCAGAAAAATTGTTACACTACTTTATAAACTTAAATCAAGGAAATGAGAATAAAGAAACTTTAGCATTTCACCTTTACGTTTCCTGTCCGTGCGAATTCATTAAATAAACCAACATTCACCTTCATTCATGATCGTATCTCGTCTCTTTCGACGCATTAAATGTTGCCAGACTAAAGTCCAAATGATTTGCTTACGACAAACAACGTTCTTGCAGAAGTTTAGTTCCAGGTTTGAGACATTTGTTCGGAATGTCTCTTTCACGTTAGTTATTTTAATTAGACTAAATCAAATAGTGATGTGATGCTTTAAACTCAAGAATGAAATGTACTTCACACATATTAAGTTTCCAAGTTTATTCAGTTTAACTATATTCACTATAAGCTGCGTGTTTTTAAATTGCCTGTCGTGTTCTGTAACTACCCTGCATCGGATTTTGTGAACTAGCGATGAGATGTTTCTTTTATCAGCACTACTGGGGTTGAAACCTGTAACAGACACAAGAAATAGATTTACACTTCACTGTCAGTCATTTTATTTCGAGGGCTTCACGCCAGAAGGGTTATCAGCACAAAGGGCGATTGACGGGAGACTAAATTCCTACGCTTATTTCGATTGACGACTTTGCGTTAGTAGTTTGACTTTTTTGTGTTCATATGCCCAGATGTAACTCTAATACGCCCTTTTGGCATGATTCCCTCGATTTGTACTGAAATTTCAACAAAAATTTATCCATTAAACGGTACAATAATCATACGGACGTTCAAAGATGTATCTTAATGTATGAGATGGGAGGTTTTCATGTAGGTGAAAAATCTGGATTGTGATGCCGTGTAGTCTTGTAGACCATTGCCGACGTTTTGGAGTAACGTATGACCTCCTTTAGGGTATAACATGAAAGTGATAAGTTTCTCCGAAACGTCGGTGACCACCTTCAAGATTTCGAGGCGTCACGTTGGTATTTTTATTTCTTATAAAAGTTAACAGGGACGGATGTTTCAGTGTATGTCATTGCGATTATAACTTTTGATCTAGTTTAGAATAACTTAATTTCCAAATCCGTTCTTTACGATTTCTTTTGTATATTATTTTTAAATTTATTTCAAATAGTCTTATTGTTTTGCAGACTTGATTATTAATAAAAGCACGACACAGTCTAGTGGAATTAATTTTTTGTGCAAATATTTTAAAAATTATATATTGTCGTAGGCTGTGATTAGACATCATTTCACTATGCACTTCTGTTGAGTGCAAAGAACGGACGTTTTTATCCATGGCTTAAATTTATTGTTGACTGAACCGTTTATTCGATAAATTGATTCACCATTTCACAGAAAAGATCTAACCTAATTGGTAAACTATAAAATTCAAGATGGCTGTCTTCCTGGTTTGTAGTCTGGTGGACGTTTACAAACGTTTCAGAGGTCCTTTGTGCCTCCATTATCAGGGCGATAAAATGCTGCTTTACTGTTCAAGAAGGAATTAGTGACCACGTGAAACCACCTATAAGATTCGGTAATGTAGAGGGGAAATATAGTTGGTATGAAATATGAGAGGTTTATTTTACATTCTTTCATTTCTAGGGGGAGGCACACTTGTGTACCATTAATTAAAACAATTATTAATTGATCGTGGATTTCTTACCGAGGACGATATCTGACGCTTCTAGAATATGAAGAAGAACTGAAACGAAAAAACAAATTTAATTACGATTTTGAATTAATTTATTCTGATTATTAAATAAATAGAAAGTAACATAATGAAGGCCTTCATAATTTATAGTTTTCGGCCATGATCATATCAAGGAAGGTGATACAGGCAGGGCATGTAACACGCATTGGGGAAATTATAAACGTAAGCAGAATTCTGGTCGGGAAACCTGAAGAGAGGAGACCACTTGCAGGACCTGGACATAAATGAGATGATAATATTAAAATGGGAAGGTGTGGAGTGGATTCATGTAGCTGAGAAGAGGGGACCGGTGACCGGATATTTTGAATACGGCAAACTTCGAGTTTTATAAAAACCAGGAATCTTTGAGTATCTGAAGGTCTGTTAACTTCTCTAGAACTTCACTCCATGTAGCGTTGTGTGTTATACCACCACGCGTTACTCACCTCGGGATCTGCTTTGTAGAGACACTTGTTTAGTTCAAATGCCGTAGCAGCAGCACTGTTCTCTTCTGCGAAACAACAATTACATAATTTTATCGATTATTTGCATGTAATAATCGAGATGACAGGTATTCTTTCATATGTGCAGCAAAGGGGGCTTACAGGATTGTTTCTAGAAGAATCTTAGAACGGAGATTAAAACAGTTGAATTTCAGGTTTCAAATGACAAGCACTCACGAACGCGTCTGATTTAACAAGCTGATCGTTTTAATTTTTATCACGTTGGTATCGAAATAAATATGGATTAATTGCGTCAGGGGTTTCCAAAATGTATTTCTTGAGATTCATGCAGATAATCCGCTGAACATCTGGGAATAACAGCAGAATTATGACGCAATAAAATGTATGATCAGGTGGTACAGAAGTGCCAAAACACTTGTGGAATAAATTAAATAAAGTACCGACTTCTTTATTTCGATCTTTAGCACTGCAAATTGTTGAGACAGGCAGAAAATTCATTTAATACTCACTGACGTGTTTGCATTTGGTTATCATTTTTCCACCGCGGTCAGCCAACAATTCAGGCAGCATTCCGATAATTGTGTCATAATCCGCCACTCCGTCTTCACTCAGCTGCAACAGTTAAACGGAAAAAATGAGCACAGCAGGGTCATAACGAATTGGTCTTCATTGTCGTTCTTAAACGCGTCATAGCATTGTTTTTTAAACTTTGAAACTACAAAGTAGTGTTTCATTTGACAGCCGAACACTTCCACTTCGATGTTCGTCTTCTGGAATGCCGTGTAGACTCGTAGGTAGATTCCAACGTTTCGGAGAAACATATTGTGGCCATCTTCAAGGATGAAGACGGGCACAGAATGTTTCTTCGAATCGCTGGTGTCTACTAGTCTACAAGGCGCCAAAACCCACAAGTACTTTATCGTTATCCTCATCACCGCGAGAACCTCAGATCTCGTTGGAAATAGAAATAAGTGTCAGAGGTTAAGAGTTATGGAAGAAGGGTTTTAATCCGTGCACTTACCGCTCCGGTCTGCTGGTAAACACACCCGAGATAGTCCTAGAACACACGAACACACTTTTTAATCTCAATTCGACCGTTTTTCAGTTTCGATGTGAAGAAGCAGTTATGGATAAAAACACAAAAAAATAGAAGGAAAAAGGAAGAATTGCATACAAAGAAAGAGAAACAAAGGGAAAGAACAGAATAGAAATGATGAATGTGTGAATTAATAACGAAGATAATTATATGTATTTGTGGTTAATTTTTTGGCCTTGTCAGTACTGTACCTTAAAATGGTCGTCTTCGGTAAATTCTCCATGCCTGGCGCTGTCGATTTGACCTGCGAGTGGAAAGTTAAATGTCAGTAGGTCTGCGTACAAATATTGCGGTTTCGTTGTTGTAAGTGGGTTTTATGCTAAAGAAATTTGACATAAAGCCGTTACTGTCACAGGACAACACAAGGAAAAATTGTGGAAATGTTAGTGACTTAAAGCCGTTACTGTCACAGGACAACACAGGGAAAAATTGTGGAAATGTTAGTGACATTTTTACCTTGATGCTCATTTATTAGGTATGAAGAACATTATTACAAATTTAATAACGTTACTGTTTCTGCGTTTTTCATAGTCAGAATTTACTTTACGTTTATTTTGTTAAATACGCGTAATATGGAAAAATCTCTCGATTCAAAGTCGTAGTTACACATCTTTGCACAGGCATATCTTATTGTTCTAATATAACCCCTGCTTTTTTAAAGAAAATAATTTTGTTGTGTAAAAAATTACACTATGTAACGCGTTCTTGTATGTGCTTTCCATTAGGAGCGTATACAAATTCGGACTGACGTACATCCACGCGAAGCAGTATTGGTAACTGCGTTCCCAGTACAGTCCCATCTAACTCGGAACCCACCTACCAGCATGCGACGGCTGTGTTCTGCGTTGTGTCTAATTCGTTTCCCGGCATTTCGCTCGCTGCTGCTGCTGCGGTGGTGGGTTCCACGTTAAGTTGGACAGTCTGTATATTTCGAAGCGCTGAGGGCACATGATATTAACGCTTTAAAGCACGATGGTATCTATATGTACCACCTACGTTAACATTCAGTAATCCTGTGTTTTGTCCACAGAGTGTATTTGCCAGTTTTACGTGATTCTAAGTATAAACAATTCCCTCAAACAGCATTATCCAGTTGATTTCTGTAATGGTGAAGTGTTGCGTTTTCTTTGCGGTACGAACTGAATTCTTAAATAATATTTTAGATGAGCTTCGTGATTCAAAGCGTTAATACACAATGCAATTGAAAGTCGGTACTTGCTTTCTTGAACTCCGGTTTGGTCCACACACGTGTCGTGTAGCATCTTCATCATTTCCTTCGTGTCGTCGTCTAGCTTGTCCAACTACAAGCATAATGAGAATCGGAGGGTTACTTATATAACAGCGCTGCATCAACCGCAAGGGCTATTTAGCAGGTATTAAAGTCGTGTACAGGACTTATGTGGCTGGATTTTGTGAACACGATATGAACCTTCAGATTCCATGGCAATAGACTAGCTGAGCTACTTAAGAGCTTTTGAAAAGCGCTCTGTTCCATGGCTTTAATTAGTTATATAAACATATGTAGTCAGTTTTGATTCAATACAACTGGAGTGCTACATACAAAGTAAAATATTTTCCACTTTGAAGCCTGTGTATGAAGTTATTATGCAGTATTGACTCGTGAGGAAAACTTACCGGAGAACCAGCTAAAGCCGTGCCCACGAAGAAAATGGCGGTCGCTGTAAGAAACTGCAGCATTGTAATTCTATAGGCTGTGAACGTGAAAGAGTGGACTTGCTCCAAATTACGCGACTGATATACCCCGATGTGAGCATCAACGTTGTCATTACTCTCGATAAACGCCCTTGATAACCACACGAAGGACACATCTGGTACAGAATGACCACTGGTGACCAATCGTAAAGAGTATTATCAAGAGGAAAAACATGTAATCGGACATGCATATTAATTTTAAAATTATACTGTAGCAGTGAGCAATACAGTTCGTAAGTTCGTGGTATTCAAGATCCACACTTTTTTTCGCAATTCAAATTATAACTAAAAAGAAATAACAATTTGTGATTCCTCGTTGTCGTCAACCAATTTGTCGTCAAAAAATGACGCCATCAACAATGTCAACAGATATTTGTTTACTCGGCATTGTTGTGGAACACAACAATGCCGAGTAAACAAATAACGCTTTACAACAAAGAAATCAAAAACTATTAAGCCAGTCGCATTATCTCTGCTCCAGAAGCAGCACATCGCATTCTTGAATATTGACTGAAAGTTGGCCTAAAACATCAGAAAAGTGAAAAAAGACGTTACCAAGTATTTGAAGTACAAACTCCAATAAGGTAAACTGATACTCATTCGATATATTACGATTACGAAAACTATTATGAAAACTGACTTTATGATCGATTTTAAGACGAAGATTTGCGGGGGTGGGGCTGGACGTAAAAAGTTGACTGAACAAGAACTGTTGGCCTCTGAACAGCGACGTAAATCTTGAGTAAGACACTAAACTAATTAGTTAGTTTAGTGTCTTACTCAGGATTTTAAAACGCAACCAAACCCCCGAAGGGGGGGGGGGTTAGTTTGGCCTCTGAATAGCGACCTAAAGAACTAAAACATCAGACCATTGAACAGCGACGTAAAGAAGTAGAATATCAGATAGAGACAACGCTCCGGAAGGAGCGCGTTGCTCTAGTAACTAAAAAATATTGACATGGTTACTGCTCAAGAATAAGTAAGTCTATTGTTGACTGCGTTTCCTCGAAAATTATACATTGTTGAAAGAAAAACGGATGGCCAGTGTCGTGCAGAATTGGAGAAGTAGTGAGGATGATTCATTGTTTAAAGATATTAATTTGTTGAGTGACTGAGTGGTTTCATTAAGCTTCGTGATACCTCTTATTCGGCTACGAGTATAAAAATATCAAATTCATGTTTAAACTAAAATTATAGTAACGTAATTATTGGTAGTCGGATTCGCGGCTGAATTTTGTGGAATAATATAGTGGCATTTCGTCTACTAAAATGCTGCCATTATCCCTCAATATGTACTGATTCTCGAATTACGTAGTGGCAACTTCTCAACATGAAATGTAATGTTTTGTCACGACTTGTTCATAAATTATTTTGCTAATGGTATAAGACTTAAGTATTAAAAATATATTAAATTTTTTTTGCAATATCTGGTATAAGACGTTTCAACAGAAAAAATGTATGTTGCAGGTTAGGTTAGATTGGCCAATCCAACTTACTAACATAATGTATATACATCGTTTACCACTTACAACAGTGTACGTGGGTTGGATGACCGTGGTTCCATCCCTGGCAGGTACAAGCACGTTTTCTTTCACCACTGTATTTGTGAGTGAATAGATAAAGGAAGATAATATAGACGTTAGTAATGACATCAAAGAAACAAATGGGAATCCTTTTGAATTTTACACCCCTGTTAGGATATGTAGGCCTAATTGGTTTAATGGAACATTATTCACCTAACGTCATGGGCTTGATGAAGTCTCTATTTAGAAGCGAAAGTAATTACGTGAGTTTCCGTGTACTAGTGATTACAGGATAGTGGAAAATCCCTGTTAGACTGAACGATACATTCATCACGGCTTGCACGATGACTCAAACTCAACAATTCATGCTTTCCCTTCTAATGCCTTTCGTACTCTCAGGTACATTCATGCTTCCTGAGTGTAAAATTTCTAACTAAAAAATAAATATAATACAAAAAGTGGCTGCCATTTTTGGTGCATTTTGAAAGCACCTGGTTCAAATCCCAGCACGGAGACCGGTTGTCCTCACCGATATTTTTTCACGATTTTCCTCAGTCCCTCAAGACGAATGCTGGGATAATATACATTGTCCTCTTCATATATTTTTCAAGTAATTATTCATCCTGTCATTTTGTATTAGATAGTTACTGGTAGTGTCATTAAATACACCACAATCAAAATAATCAAAATACATACTGCCAGGTTCTTAAAATGTTGGATTATGAATTGAAAGTCTGACGTACCGGGATGTGATTCATGCCCTTATTGCGTAATCATCTTTCCAGGAATTCATTTTCGTTCTTGAGGCCGCCATTTCGTCCATTTCAGTGTCAGTTGTCGATGGCCATAGTATGCTTCAACGCGGCTTCACCGGACCGCTTAGTTCCTGTGTGTTTCGTACTCTGTAATTTTTTTGTTAGTTTCGTAACAAATTCACTGATGTGGAACAAAGCTTCATTCATAACATGGGATCTTCTAGGGCAACATAGTTTTGTGATTGAAATAAGCATTTGATATATGATTGTTTCCTGGAACGTTCTATCGCTAGAATCGCCGTTTATAATCCAAATCGAAGAATCTGTTTACGAGTAACAAATTCCACGACTATTTGAAGATCGAGACATGAACATATATAACATTTTGGTAAGAAAATGTGTAGAAATTACACGTCTTGGGACACGGCGTGTATGGGAGGATGGTATGAAAATGAGACGTAAGAAAATTATTCCAGCGTGTGGACAGGATTCATCTGAGTTGTACGTAATGAGAGATGGTTGCGGGCTATTGTACACACGGTAATGGACCTTTGGAGTCCATAAAGTCAGGGAATTTTTTACCAACTGAGGGACTTTTAGCTTATGCGTCATGTAGTCCTGTACAAGTTTACCGACGTTTCAGAGGTCCTTGCTGCCTACAGTATTAAGGCAGTGGCATCTTCTGTAAACTTCTACCAGACTACACGGCCATTTTCAGAAAGGAATGTGCTGTATGGGGTTAGTTACGAAGGAATAGTTTATGTTTTTGCAGAAAGTCTAGTTTTGCGTCTTACAGAAGTTTATCTGCGCGTGTCCTTTGTCTGACTCCTTACTGTTTGTGCTTGTATGTTATGTTTACTGAGACGTATCAAATGTCTTGCCAAAGTCAGAAGTGGAGAAGGTCGTCCAGTAATGTACGGATGTTGAATCCACGCGAACATGAAAATTCGCAAAAGCATTTGTCTTACCACTGAAATAATGTACACAGTAACTATCATGTTCACTGTGTCGAAGCATGTTATTGACTAGCGACAGGAAGCCGCGGTTTTAGAAGCAGATGTCTTGTCAATTATTATTTTTTTTCTGAACTTCACTTGGATGAAGTCTTCGATTATAGTGCTCGGTTTAATGGCGGTCATGGCCACATCCAAAACATATATCTAATAATCGAGCAACTTGGCCGGTGGCTTCGTTGGTGATCATTTGTTGATACGGGATTTTGAGCCTTATGGGACAATATTTATGAATATATATTTACTTATTTTTTACTTCGGTTTTCCGTCAGTCTTGACGGGTAGTTTACTAAAGACATATTTGTTTTCTGAGTTAGTACCAAAATCCAGTTTATGCGTTACCTGACGTATACAGAGTTAAGGAATTCTATGTCTGGTTTCTGTTATGGTTTTAGAATTTCATGCACCACATAATACAACCTTAAACATTATATTACAGGTTGAAGCTGTCTTCTAGACCAGAGGTCTCCAAACTAAAAAAACATAGCACGCACCCCCGGAATAAATAAATAAATATTTAAGTGTAATTTTTATTATATTTATTATTTATTTATAAATAATTTACATTTTATGCATTTCTATCTAGCATCGCATCATAAAATCACAAATACAATTCAATATAAGAATACAAAAGAAAATTAAATTGAAATTATCTCGCGACCCCCATGGACCATCTCTCGCACCCCACATTGGAGACCATTGATCTAGACTAGCTAAGAGATGTTTTCGAATGGTATTAAGATGTGTTAAAAGGATACAGTGAACATTTCTGACGGCTGCACTGCGGTACAACACGGTCATTCCGCTGTGCGCGATCGCATTTGTCCCTTTTCCTTGTGAAGATGGTCTGGCGGTTAGAACGCTGGCCTTGTAATCCTTGGGTCTCGGGTTCGATTCCCGGCGGTGCCCGAATTTATAACTTGTGTTGGGCAAGGCCGTGGTCTAGGCAACACGGAGTTTTCCTCCGGGGGCATCCCAACAATTACTCCATTCACACACAGAAGAAGGCAATGGCAAACCACTTCTGGATCATCTGCCAAGAACGTATATGAACAGGTCCCAGTCCGAGAAAGGATGGAAGGATCCTGTTCATATGGACCTGTCGTCAGACAGAACACTACAAATAAAATAAGCGGCACATGCGCCAAATATCCTCACTGTTCTTAGGCTTATACGATAATCGGATATAGAAACTTATGTTTCCTGTACACTGCCATAATACAAAGACTG